GTCAAATCCCAGCTCTGCAATTGACCGACTTTGTGTCGGTGTCCCCGTGTGATGGGTTGTGGGAAGTACAGAAGCTAACTCGAGTGCACACCTAACAGAGTAGGCATTCAAAAAATGTTAGCTGCTATTAAAATATTAGTATGACATAGAGATTAAGGCCATGGGTACTCTAAAGCCAGACTGCTCAGCCGAATTCCAGCTCTAGCACTCACTACTGTATGACGCAGGCGAAGCTACTTAACGTTTCCATGCCTCAGTTTCCTCATCTGTAAAATGGTATCTTTATTGTATCTGCCTCACAAGATACTTTTGAGAATTACTGAGAGGCTATATTAAGCACTTAGAATAGTGCCTGGCATATAAAAAGTTCTATATACATTTTAACTATAGTTATTATCACAAGCCAATCAAATAAATAGGGCTCACAAACATCTTTCAAATGTAAATGGAGGTTCTTGTGATTAACACAAGAGTCATCTGGACACAAACATTCACAGATGAATAGCAACACGAATTCATCTGAAAACATTTCTGAATTCGCAATGTTTTCTCAATCAACTCATGGTTGAAGGTAGAACTAATGCCATATGAGAAGCCGGGACATTTTTTAACAATAAAAAGTTGGCCCTCATATTCAAAGGGTACAAAAGCATTAGGTTTGCTTGTTTGTTGACTATTTTATCTTTACAGAGAACTGAACCCTAGAGAAGGTATGCGACTTGCCCAGGGTCATCCAGCGTGGTGACCAGGACTGGAGCTCAGCTTGAGCCACTGCCCTGGACCTCTGACCAGGCGCCGTACAGAAGTGCTGGCAGCTTCCGCGGGCTTGCCTCTCAGACACACTGGAAGTCAAACCACCCTATAAAAGTTAATTTTCTAACACAGCCACTTTTGTTCATTTGAACCATTCTCTCCCCCTTTCCTTTACAAGGTCATTAAGTAGTTCAGTCAATGAAAAATTATGTAAATTCAAACAAATTACCTCACCCATAGGGACCTGAGCTTCCTCTCTGTAAAAGGCTTTGCTCTCCTCTGTGGAGCAAGGCGAGGCCCAGCGTGGATGCCAGTCCAAGCCTGGTCCCAGCACCACAGCCACTCCTTGGTGCTTCTCCCAGTCCTGATCAGCCTGTGGCAGTGTGACCCCGGGGGTTAGATGATAATTTCCTCTCCGTCACATGCAACGCTGCAGTACCTTCAAGCCATTCCTCTCCCCTCTCTCCTCAAAGACAAACCAGCACTTTTGGCACCCAGAAGGTTGGGGAAGGGGAGGGTCATAACCTGGCTTGGTGAATTTCAGGCCCGGAGGCTCAAACCATCACGTACAAGCTATTCCCTTCGATTCTCCCTCTTCCTCCTCTCTCCTTAGACCAGCAGGGATCAACCCGAGTAGCTAGTATTTCCCAGGTGATTGATTCCACAGAATGAGGGAGTGCAGAGCAAAGGCCATTAATGCATAATAATGGATCTTTATTGTTTTTTATAATCTGACAGATGAGCCCTGTTCTTTCTACCTTTAGGATATGATGTAAACCTACTTGAGTCCGGAAAGAACACTCTTAAAAAAAATCAGAAAAGACCCTCTGGCTACAGAATATTCATTATTAAGCACCCCTTAGGATATTAAGCAATTCCCCAGAAAACCACACAGCTCTTAGCAAAGGCTTCCCCAGGAGTCAACAGGCAAGTGAGAAGCTCCTCCCCATAAGAACATCCACTTATCTCTGACCCCACCCCTTCCTGTCTTTTGTCAGTTGCTGGGAGGGAAAAACAGTCAACATACACTGAGCAGCAATTTTCGCATGGGTGTCAATTCTCTGAAGGTTTCCCTTGAGAGCAACTAGTGGAAATAAGAAATTGACAGAAGAAAAAAAGTCTCAGAGATAGACCACTGCAGATTTGGAGCAGGAACTGACAGGAAAAAACCTCAGGGGACAGTGGCACATGTGTGTCTGGATCATCAGGGAGCCCGAGGTAGAGGACTTAAATGAAAAACTGGGAAAGGAAGAAAGCTAGTTTACGTCCATTTAAAGTTGAAAACCTGGCTTTTAATTTTAAGTTTATCACAATAGGTGAAAACACTGTTCTCCCATCACAATAGGAGAACACACTGTGTACTGTGTATGTGTGTGATTCTGTTCAGAAACAGGCAAAATGAAGCTTTAGTTTTCAGGATGCATATTTAGGTGGTAAAACTATAAAGAAAAACAAGTTGGTTTTTCCATAGGAGGTGATTACCGTAAGTCAGGATACGGTTATGTGCAGTGAGCTTCTGGGGTGCAGGCAATGTTTTATTACTTGCCTTGGTTGGTAATTAAACATGCACTTTATAATCAGCTGCTATGCATTTATATTTTATGACTTTGTTATGTCACGATAAAAAATAAGTTAAAAAAGAAAAAAAACAATTTCAAGTATGCCGATTACAGAGTTCTATTCAGTCTTTAGCATTTTAACAAAAGACTAGAGCTAATACCAGAATAATTCATACAGGAGAAAGCAAATATAGTTATTTAAATAGAAGGCACTCCTCTACCGGCCTAATTGTATGGTTTGCTTTGGTGTGGGGACCACACCAAGGTACATATACAAAACCATACTAGCACACTCACTCTATCTGCCCAGGATGATAAATGTAGCACACCTGCCAACCAGAAGGTGTGTGTAATTCTCAGGGCTCACACCTCCTCACGGTTAGTCACTCTTTATAGAGCACTCTCCCATATCTTAACTCACAGCAGAGATACAGGCAGCTTCAGACAATAGAAGGCTCATCCCAGTACAGCTCAAGTAAGCAGCAGACACCAGACCAGCACCAAGTCTCAGATGGCCACCTCAGGACCCCTTTATGACAATGACTTTCCCATTCCCAGGAGGAGGCCCACATTCTTCCATGTGGAAATAAGGAGATGGAGAAACAAGGAAACTACTGTCAGCATGAGAATGTCACCTCCTGAGCCACTTTCACTTATCAATTAAAGCACCTGCCAAGGGCATTATAAAGATTAGCTTCCCTCACCAGACCATGAACACCTGAGAATGGAGTTGTGCCCTCTCATTTCCGAGGCCCCAGGGCTTTGGACCGTTTCTAGAATATGGTAATATGCTCATTAAACATGTGCTAATAAATTACTTAATATATGAACGTACAAACTAATGAATTTACAATGTTGTTTTCCACCACATTGCATTATTCCTACACAGTGTCACTTGCATTAAGATTTTTTTAAGCAGTTAAAATGCCAGGTAGTAACTGCCCTTTTAGCAGATTGCCAATATATCTTCTACTTCTTAAAAAAAGGTTTCATGGCATATATAATAAATTCAGAGGTGGAGAGGGCTGACAGGTTAATTATAGACACAAAGAACAGGGACAAATGGACTATGAGGTAAGCGAGTCTAAATGTACCTTCCCTGGACAAGCATTTATTTATAAACCTGCAAAGATTTACTGGGCATGGCCAGGTTCAGCTCTGTGTCAGGCTTGCGGGCGGGGGGTCCAGATTAGAGGGAGGCACAGTTTCTGCGCTTGAGGAATTCAGTGGCTGGGAAGACAGCCTGTACCTGCAAGAATAATCAAAGAGGTCACCTCGGGACAGCAGGTGGAAGACAGGGGGAAGATAGGGCCTAAGAACAGAGTGAGGCACCTGGCTTCTGGGGGGGTGAGATGGTCAGAGAAGACCCCCTAAGTCCACTAGGCCCACCAGGAAAGAGATGTGGGTAGGACTGTGGGTGGCAGAGAAGCCAAGGAGGCCCCCAATTCCTTTCCTCCTGCACTTCCCACCACACTCCTTCCGCTGCTGGGGGTGGGGGACTTAAATCAAAAGGACCCACAGAGATCTTCCCCTTCCCTCTCCACCCTCACCCCGCCCCCCTCCAAGCAAAAAGAGATATTCAGATGGCTGGGGAAGCAAGTATTGGACCAGCTTCAGTAAATAGATGGGCCCAAGAATGTAATGTGAGGCATTTCGGCAAGGTGTGGACACCAAGGAGTGCTTTTTGCTCCCTTGACTGAAATATCATTCAGTCAAAAAATATTTATTGGCCACCTTCTAGGTTCCGGCACTGAATGTGGCCACTCTCAGGGAGTGGGACATCAAAACTCCCTTTAGCCCAGACTAGATGACCAAAGCCTGGGCCTCCAAACACTGAGTCCGGGTCTTTGAGGTTTCTGGTGGTCTCCGATTGAACCTGGGCTCTCACAGAAATGCGGCCCTTCTAAGAAGTTTGCGATTATTCCTTTGATTCAAGTATTTCTGGGGGGAAAGGGCTGATCAGTTGATAATCCGGGAATGCTAAGAAATACGGCCATGGCCACCTCCCGCAGGGGGAACGGGGATGTCCTTCGTCCAAAAGGATTTATTCGGGCTTTTTTGTTTCCAAAATTCCACCTTTTCTCCAAAAGATAATTAGAGAGGTGAGACCTGGCCATGGCTGAGATCCAGAGTGAGAAATGAGTTGTTTCGGTTGTGCGTTTAAAGTTAATCCCACTCGCCTCCCACTCCACCTCACTTTCCAGGTCGTCCAGGTTGCTTCCCAACGACTGTCCGCCACTCTGCGACTCGTGAAGACCCGAGAAGCGCTATCCCCCCAGCGCGCGAGATCTGCGGGGGACCCTCACACCCTCCCCGCTTCACAAAGCGCGTCCACACGCCGGGCCGCGCTGCGCTTCCGGGGCGAAGGAACTCCAACTGCTCCCTTCAATTTCGCGGACTGGGTAGGTGTGCGCCCGGCCTCCGCCCCGCTCGCCCCGGAGCGCAGCGTCCGGGAAGGGGCTGCCGGGGGCGCCGAGCCCGAGGAGCGCGAACAGCGCTCACCGCAAGCGCTCCGGGGCGCACCTGGATGCGCCGCGCGGCCGCAGCTCCCACCCCAGTTCCCGAAACCGCCGACTCCGACAGCGCCCGCCGGGCCCCAGCCTTCCCCAGGTTCCCTCCGGGCCACGCCGCTCCCCGGGCTGGGAGCGCCCCGCTCCCCGCTCCCCGCGCCGCCCAGGTTGCTCTTACCCGGGAAATGGCGAGAGGCTGCTCGAAGTCCTTGCCCCCCACGAGGCGGAAGCCCCAGGGCCCCGGGCCCTGGAGCACTATTTGCTGAGTGGTCATGGCGCGGCGACAACGAGCGGCGACCCGCGGGGACAGACGCGACAGGACGCGGCGCGGCGCACTGGGCTCTCCGGGACGCTCTAGGAGAAAGGGCGCGCGCCACGGGCCGGGGGAGCCTGGGGCGCGCGGGAAGGAGGGCGGGGGCGGCTCCGCCCAGGCCGGGGTAAGGCCGCCAGCCCCGCCCGTCCTCCCCCCCGCGGCCCGTCCTCCGCCTCGTGGCCCGCGGAGCGCCCCGGCTGGGAGTCGGTCCGAGAAAGCCCCGAGTCTAGTTAAGGGACCCGGTTCTCTGCAGCTCCGCCCCGGACCCCAGCACCGCCCAGGGCACTAGGTGAGAGGCAGGCATGTTCCGACAGATCTGGTCTTGGGTGCTTTTTGAAACGCGTTTAGAAGTGCTGTGCAAAGTCAACTTTTTGAGAGCAGTTCCATCTTCACATTTGCTTTTTTGTAAAAGATCAGGGTGTGTTAAAGGTGCTGTCGAATGATCTCATTTGAGGCTATGAAGCAGTCAGTGCATTTAGCCCCATTTTACAGCTGAAGTAACTGGGTCGGCCCAGGGTTAGAAGACTTGCCCGAGGCCACACAGCTCGCCAGTCCCGGTCTCCCGTTGCTAAGGAAGCCCAGACAGGAACTTTTCTAATGCTAATGAGAGTTGTTATAAATGGACATCAAAACCTTTCTAAAAACCTTTCCTCCAGGCCGCATTGCACTGTAGGTTCTGACCTTCCCAATACCAGACATCCAGTCAGGGGCGGGCCCAGGGCTAAATACATGGAAAGGGCACTGGGTTGAGTAGGAAGACCTGGGTTGCCAGCCTTCCCCTAGCCTCCCAACTGGCCTCCCTGCCACTCTGGCTCCTTGAGTGCTTTCTCCACGCCAGACCAGACCGTGTCTCACGCTGTCCGCTGGGTCCCCTCTTTGAGTAAAGCCGAAATCCTTAAAATGCTTGTAAGACCACCCACAATGACGCCAACTCCTTCTCTGACCTTCTGTCTTCCAGCTGCCCTGACACCACCACCACCCCACTCTGGCCGCCTTGCTTCTGCCTCAGGGCCTCGCATCAGGGCGTCTGTCTGGAATGCTTTCCTCCTAGACATCCCTTGGCTCACTCTGTTCAGATGTCATCATCTCGGAGCACCGTACTTAAAACTTCCTTTTTAGAATATTGTCACCTTCCCGTGCTTTATTTTTCTCGATTGTGTTTATTACCATCTGACATGCTCAATATTTTACTTATTTGTCCCACCTCTAAGCATTAATTCCATGGTGGTAGAGTTTTTATCCGTTTTGATCACTGCTGTGTCCCAGTGCCTAGAATAGTGCCTGGCACATAGTATTTAGTGAATGCAATGCATTGTCCATTCTTAGGACCACTTCCCCCCTTTTGGGGACCAGGTTCTTCATAGTTTTCTTAGCACTCATTCATCCTGGCACCAGGCCCCCAGCGCAGTGCTTGACACAGAGCACATGCTTAATGTATACGATATTGTGATTTATAAAAAATATATATATTTGGTCATTCAATGACCAAATATATATATTTCTCATGTATTCTTAGTTGTCATCCACAATTCCTGGCTCACAGTTCCCCCAAACCTCGGAATTTTCCAAGTGTTGAGAATGATAAAGGTGTCTTTTGTTATGTGAATGAAATGACCTTTAAAAAGCATCTGAAGATGGGGGCGGGTTGCCAGGAGAACCAACCAGCTGATTAAAGGTTGGAATTTTTCAGTCCCCCCCCACCACCACCACCTGTCAAAAGGAGTAGAGCTAGAGATTGAATCAGTGGCCAATAGCCAGTGATTTAATCAGTCATGCCTACGTAATGAAGCCTCCATAAAAACAGACTAACATTAACTCAGAGGTTCCACAGCCTCCTCCTTGGGTTTGATGAATTTGTTTCTGAGAGCTTCCGGGTTGGTGAACACATGGAGATGCTGGGAGAGTGGCAGGCCACTTCTCCCAAACCTTACCCTATGCATCTCTTCCACCTGGCTGTTCCTGAATTATATCCTTGTCCAAAAAAACCAGTGATCTAGTAACATGTTTCTCTGAGTTCTGTGAGTCATTCTAGCAAATTAATCAGACCCAAAGAGGGGGGTGTGGATACATACCTCTGATTTACAGCCAGTCAGTCTGAAGTACAGGTAACAACCTAGACTTGTGATTGGTATACTGAGTTGGAGGGAGTTGTTGGAACCTCCAATCTATGGCCAGTTGGTCAGAAGCACAAGTATGAGTCTGAAGTGTGTGTGTAGGGGGAGGTGGGTGCAGAGGAGGGAGCAGTCTTGTAGAACTAAACCCTTAGCCTGTGGAATCTGATGCTATCTCTAGGTAGACAGATAGTGTTAGAATTGAGTTGAATTCTCAGATACCCTGCTGGTGTCCAAGAATTGTTTGTTGGTCGGGGGATACTCCCCACATTGGAATTAGGCCCAGGAACCAAGTTTAATGTTCATTAAAAGCAGGACTCTGTCTCCTTGTGATGCTGAACGACCTACGGAGGATCCCTGTCCACAGATTTACACATGAAAGGATCATCTTACTTGTCTGATGTATCTTAGCACAAATGCCTATTTTTAGGAATGGTTTGCTTGTATTTAGAAATCAAAGTGGATTTATGTTATCTATACATCCCTCCCTGTCCCCTTGCATCCTGATGTTCTTCTTTCTTGAATCTGAGAAAAAGAAATGGAGTTAAAGCGAGGAACCCGCCACTTGCTTCATTGAACCCCCAAATCCACCCACTTTGATTAAGATTCTGCTGATTAGACAACATGTTAGTGTTTCAAGCCCCTGCAGAATTTTGCAGAATCGCCAGATTCTGAGTATGGCTTTGATGTGTAGCAGTGTTGAATATTTTGCGTCCCTGGGAGAGAAAAGGGTTGAAAAGCCATATCTTCTGTGCCACCCACGGAGGGAGGCTGCCTCTCATTCATCCCCATGTGTCCTGCTAGCATGGACCTGATATATCATAGGTACCAACAGTGATTATTATACAGATATAGGGCACTAGTACATTTGTGAGGGCTGTGAGTCCTCAGTTTGCTTCATTTAGTTGTCAAATATTCTCAGTTGTAATCTGGATCTACATAGCAAGAGCTATTGGGTTGTCGGAAAAGTCATGATGTATTTCGTCTATGTTTTTCAAAGGTCATTTATTTATATAAAGGACAAAGAGCAATCAATGATATATTGCCCGTTTTGTTCAATACCTTTTGCCATCTTTCAGTGAGCTTCATAATTCCTCATGCATAGAAAGACCTGTCTTTCTTTGCGAAAAACTGAACAAGGTGCTGATTTACAGCCTCATCTGAATTGAATGTTATACCACACAAGGAGTTTTGAAGAGAGCAAGACAAGTGGAAGTCTGACAGCACAAGGTCAGGCCAGTATGGTGGGTGTGGCAACACATCCCATCCAAGCTCCAGTAACTTTTTTTTTTTTAAGATTTTATTGGGGAATTGGGGGAGGGGAACAGCATTGGGGAATCAGGGAAGGTGAACAGACAAGTTGCTGTCCTTTTGTTCTTCAGTCTAGTTGTGGAGGACGTCGCTTCACCGGCCCATGTTGGTATTATCATTGTGCTCTTCCCGGGTGAGGCAGATTGGTCGCTGGTCACTGGACGGCTGCTCACAGCAGCTCTTGGCAGCTTTTGGGGCTTCCAGCCGCTCACGGTAGCTTATGGGAGCCCACTGCAGCAGGGGCTGCAGCTTATGCCATCCCTGGCGACTCACGGCAGCCCAGCTCCTGGTCGAGCTGTTGTTCACCATCTTAGCTTAGAGGGTGCAGCGTCACTGGACCTCATGTGGGATCCAAACCGAGGCCCTGCTGCTCAGCGCTGGCGTCCCAAGCCAACTCCTAACCAATGCGCCACTTGGCCGGCCTGAAGCTCCAATAGTTTTTGACGGGTGATCAAACTTGTGTGTGGTCTCACGTTGTCATGATAGAACACAGCTCCTTTATAATTAAGAAGCTCTGGACGTTTCTGGATGATGGATTCGTTCAAACTGTACAATTGCC